ATCTGCACCAGCCATCCCCCCAGGCAGATATCCATATGGAATTTGTTGGGTGTGGGGATCACCTGTATCAAAACTATCATATGGGTCTTAGTGGTAAGTTGATCTACTAGCCATATTCTATTTTTTTTACTAATCATAATTATAGGCAAACCATGTGATGTAAATGGTGCATTCCTCCCTCCTGGTGCTCCTCCTCCTCCTGAGGATATTGCAAATGACAACTGGATGCCCTTTCATAACTGTTTGGAATTTGAAACAGCTGAGTTCCTCTATAAGCAAAACCAGATGCCAGCTGGTCAAATTGACTGGCTGCTGGATCTATGGGCATCTACCCTTGTGAAGCACAATGACAAGCCACCATTTGCAGATCACTGTGATCTGTACAATGTCATTGACAGTTTACCCTTTGGAGATGTACCATGGCAACACTTTACAGTTGCCTATGATGGCAAGAGACTCACAGATGAAGACAGGCCCTGGATGGATGATCAATACGAAGTTTGGTTCTGCAACCTGCATGAAGTCATGTGCAATATGCTTACAAATCCAATGTATGCTAATGAGATAGATTACCACCCATACAGAGAATATTCAACTGAGGGTGATAAGCACCAATGGAAGAATTTTTTTTTATGTCTGGTGACTGGGCATGGGATCAAGTAGTAAGTGTTGTACTTTTTGGAGTTGTGATGACGGCTCCATACTTATCTAGGATGAAATTGCGAAAGACCTGAGCACACTTGGGTCGACTTTTGTCCCTGTCATTCTTGGCAGTGGTAAAACAACAGTTTCAGTTGGGACAGGTAATAATGAGTATTATCCATTATATGCTTCTATTGGTAACATCCATAACAATGTCCGACAAGCATATCATAACAGAGTGGCCATTATTGGGTTCCTTGCAATGCCGAAAAGTTTGTTTTAGCACTGGTCTATGTCTATCACTAACTAATCATCATATAATTACACAGGAACACACTGAAGAACATTCATTCAGAAATTTTCATCAACAGCTGTTCCACTCATCCCTTTCCAAAATCCTCAACTCACTCAAGCTAGGCATGACAACTCCTGAAGTCATGCATTTCAGAGATGGTCACTACTGGTGGGTTATATATGGACTAGGACCTTACAATGGCTCAAAAAACTGTCTGCATGTTTTGACATTTTTCACTATCTATGATATTGTGTGAGAACAAACAAATGCCTCAAGGACATGCTTATACCACATTGTAGTATGGCTTCAGGGCTTTCATTTGAGCCCTACACCGTGGGAATTGGTGGAGATATGGTGGAGACATGAGGCTTATAAAATGATGACTCATGTTTGTGCATTGTTTACTATTTACAATATTGTGTGAGAATACATAAAGACCTCAGTGACATGCTGATACCATATTGTAGTGCTGCTTCAGGGCTTTGGATTGAGCACCACATCATGAGAATCAGAGAAGATAAGGTGGAGATACAAGGCTTACAAAATCATGATTCATGCAGACAGTTTTTTGAGCACATATTAAAACTATATAAATCATCATTTATGACACCATAACAATCATGCCACCATTAAATAAATTATAAAGTGGTGTCATTATGTCATTTTAAAACCATATCTAACTATACAAACCAAAAATTTCCATATGTCATGGTTATATTCACCATGAAAGCCACCCCCCCTGCTCAAAGGGATAATATCCTCTCTCTTTCCTATTCTGGCCTCTCTGCTTGTCAAATTTCCTCTAGAACTGGAGTATCCAAGTCCACTGTGGCCAAGTTCATCAAAGAAAGTCACACAGACAAGGAAAACTTCTGTGAAGGGTGTCCATCCAAGCTCACCTCTACTGATAGGAGGGCTATTATTCAACATATCACTACAGGAAAGGCTGATAATGCTGTCCAGGTCACCTATTACATCAATTCCACCATCACATTCCCTGTCTCTTCACACACTATGAGAAACATTCTCAAGACAGCTCATCTCAGGTCAGTAACAAGGAAGAAAAGACTCTCCTCTCTATCACACATATGCAGAGAGGACTAACCTTTGCCTTAGCCCATCAGAATTGGATTACATGGACTGGAAGCATGTTATATGATCATATAAGACCACAATAAATAGGATTGGGTCAGATGGCAAGGTATATATGTGAAAAAAGAAGGGTGCTAGTCCTCTCTGCATATGTGTGATAGAGAGGAGAGCCTTTTCTTCCTTGTTACTGACCTGAGATGAGCTGTCTTGAGAATGTTTCTCATAGTGTGTGAAGAGACAGGGAATGTGATGGTGGAATTGATGTAATAGGTGACCTGGACAGCATTATCAGCCTTTCCTGTAGTGATATGTTGAATAATAGCCCTCCTATCAGTAGAGGTGAGCTTGGATGGACACCCTTCACAGAAGTTTTCCTTGTCTGTGTGACTTTCTTTGATGAACTTGGCCACAGTGGACTTGGATACTCCAGTTCTAGAGGAAATTTGACAAGCAGAGAGGCCAGAATAGGAAAGAGAGAGGATATTATCCCTTTGAGCAGGGGGGGTGGCTTTCATGGTGAATATAACCATGACATATGGAAATTTTTGGTTTGTATAGTTAGATATGGTTTTAAATGACATAATGACACCACTTTATAATTTATTTAATGGTGGCATGATTGTTATGGTGTTGTAAATGATGATTTATATAGTTTTAATATGTGCTCAAAAAACTGTCCGCATGAGTCATGATTTTGTAAGCCTTGTATCTCCACCATATCTCCACCGATTCCCACGGTGTAGGGCTCAAATGAAAGCCCTGAAGCCATATTACAATGTGGTATAAGCATGTCCTTGAGCCATTTGTTCGTTCTCACACAATATCATAGATAGTGAAAAATGTCAAAACATGCGGACAGTTTTTTGAGCCACTGTACACTCATCTCAGATGTGGCACATCCAGCCATTGCATCTTGGATCAGCAGATTTAACAGGTATGGCTGTAATGATCAAATCATTACACTGTCAGCATCACATGAGGGCCAAAGTGTCCTGCATATCATTCTCAATGCTCCAACAACTGCAGACATGCTGTTCATGACTACTGGAGGAGTATAATACTTCTATCCCAAATGGTTGAAAGGAGGGCTGGCAATTGAAAGCCACATGGGGATTTTACCAGCATGGAATAAAAAATTGGGATGTGCTGGAGAACTGATGGACAACATGGAAGTGGAAAGAGGAATGTCCTTCCTCAACACAGCCTGTGGGAAGTTGTGTCCTACCTACTGGCACCACATCAAAAAGAAACACCTGCAGTTGTCTGTTGATTGGAATGCAGCAGATTGTGTAACTAATGTGTTCCACAATGTTGACATTGAATGGCAGTTGAACACAAAGTGCATCAATCCAAAATGTCCTCACCATGTACAGGTGATGGGTCAGAACCTGGAAACTGCAGGTGCCCACAACCATGAGTTTCCACTCAAAAGTGAATAATTGAGGAGAGGAGGAGGACTGACTTGTGGAAATAGGTAATGATGTGAAATTCATCCCACCTGAAATATGATGGCACCAGCCAGTGAGCAAAGATGTGATCACTTGGCCATTGTGGCATAGCTGAAAGGACCCACAGCATTTCCTGCAACTAATCAAAGGTGTATTCTACAGTGGAGGCTGCCACTGGCCCTTCCTCATGCCCATTCCAGTGTGAGACAGAGTAGAGAGGCCGCTAACACTAGACAACCTCAATATCAACTATTGGGTGAAACAGTGGGACTACTATGAATGCACAGTGACACATCATCACCTCCATTGCACCTTCAGCAAAGTGCCCAGATCCAATGTGATCATGGATGGAAAGTATACACTGTACTTTGAAAGAGCCAATCCTTCAATTCCTCCAAGCCACCTCCTCAGAAGAATGTGTAGCATGAGCAGGCAGCATGAGACACTTCATGGGAGTGTGGTGGTTGTCAAGCAAATGTGAGACATTCCAGGCCACATTGTGGACATGATGAAACAGGACCAGCTCATCATCAATTTCCTGATATCAAGGTGTGTTTCAGTTGTGTGCAGGTTCCGATTGTCACTCAAAAGGGACCAGTGCTTTACATTATCATACATTGCTGTAGAAATGAGCAATGCCCTTAGTGTAGGGTGAGCAAGAGGTTATTGTGTGTGGGTGTTATAATGTACTGCTGTAATTCAGCCTAGTTGTGGATGTAACATAGATATCGATTGGCAGTTTCAGAGTTGACTGAGTTATAGTGAGATCAATCACACAGTGGAGCTTGAAGCAAGCATTTGCCTGTCATATATGAGGCATTCAGTAATCACACTGGCAAGAAGGGTCTACAGGACCACTGGAAACTTAGAATGGTGGACACCACACTATTAAGAGTGGCAGAACAAAACAGATGATGAGAGGGTTTCTTGATGAGTATGTGCTTGAGTACTCTCTGCAGACCATGGCTACAACTGACATCATGTAGTTTTGCACCAGCACAGAAGGTGAGTGTGTATCTGGTACATCAACATCAACATCAGTACACCATGAGGCATTGGCAAGGTGGATGCACAGGTGCTGCAACATTGCCTTCATCAACCTGGAAATCTTCATGGATAATACCATGAATTCTTACTTCAGTATGTACCTTAGACACAAGAAGGAGCTTCTATGTTGAGTGTCCATAGATCTGTTGGCCAGGATGGTTTACAGCCCAGGGTTAAATGTCTACTTCATTGACAATAGTGCAATGTATTGACATACCACACAAGATGCTGTGCAGGGGGCTAGAATGAAGTGGGAAGGTCGCCACACAACATGCTGTGCACAGGGATAGGAGGGAGTTGAAAGAAAGTGATTGAATCATATAGTCAGGTTACAGTAAATACAAAAGATGCAGATGTATTGCTATGAAGAAGCTACAGAATTGGGGAGGGGAAACATTGAGGTCAAATAACTGGAGGTTCAAAGGGGGGAGGGGAGGGTACATCATCTGTGTAGGGCTGACTATTCAGGCAGTCATGAAGGACCCATGAGAACCCCCATGGAACCCAGGCTGGCGTCCGGACAAAAATTGACCCAAACGACCACTCCACCCAGGTTACAGTCCAGACACAAAATGTCTAATTTGGGTGTCAACTCAGGTGAACATCCAGACATCTGCGAGGGGGGTGGTGGTATGCCAGGTCGAAGTCTGGACAAATATGGTAGAGTAGTGTAGCGGAACGACACAGTCGATAATGTTGAACGCGAGAGTTCGAATCTTGCTTAATGCTTTTTGCAGCTTCCATTGGACGCTTGAAGTTCGAATGAGCAAGTCGACTACTATATGTGATGCCCACAAAAGTGCAACTGGCGCAAACCAACATCTTTTTTCTTTCATTGGTACAGTTCTCCTGTCTCACGTCTAGTTATGAACGAGCTCGACCTCGTTTGTCCCCCTATTTTTCACCCTCATGAATGGATTGGCAAAGGCCATAAATATGATTTAAAAAAACTTCCACAATCAGTGGTCTTTGCTCGTTCTGCAGCACTCGAGATTCCCCAAGGGCACATACACCACATCCCATCTCGCGACCTTTCCGTTCACGATTTTCTGCAGCTGTCATTGCCTGCCCCCTCCTCGACCATTGTTTCTGTGAAAGTCAATTGTTGGTTTAGCCATGACCCTCCAGACATTGACTTATCCTACCTCAAAACTCGGCCCATCCCCTCTGAACGTGTATTGGCAGAGATCAACTCTGCCATCAGTCAAGCATGGCTCGACGGTGCTCAATCGTTGGCGGACCCACGTTACAATGACGGCCGAGATCGTTTACCATTGTGGGCCCTGACGTGGTGGCGCGAGTTCGCCACTACTGTTCGCCATCAGACAGCTTGGAGAAAATGCGAGGAATGGCTTACGAAGGAGTCGAAAACAGCTGAGGCTGTCATTTTGATGATGGAGGCTCACAATCTCCTTGCTGTTCTGCCGTGGAGAGCAGACACTGGATGGCGCAGCTCGACCTTGGAGTTAACGCATCTGCTTGGGACAGACTGGATATCCGACGAGCTAGAAGACATGATGATGGCACACCTTGGACGCCGAGCTCGCGCACGATTCCTTCATGCACGGATACTCATCGGAAGCGCACTGCTTGGACAGGCTGTGATGGGTGCCACTAGTACCCATGACAAGTCCTCGGTAAAGATACCACTCCTCGAGCGCTACCACACTCAGATCGTTAGCCTCAACTATCAAAAGCTATTTTTCCCAGTTCACGTACAGGAAAACCATTGGATTGCGGCCGGAGTAGACTTCGATACGAAAACAATTTCTATCGGTATGTTAGTTTTGCACAGACACAGTCTCAGTGATTGCAATATACTCGAAAGGTGGCGGTAAAAACGGCAAACACGCTGCTGTTGACAAAGCAGACGCTATCGCTGGTGTCTCGTACCTTGGCGTCCAAATCTACCAGCAACATTTTCATCGTCATTTTCGTTCCATTCCTGATGCAACCGCCATGTTCCAATGCAACCACTTTGCCTTCCTTCCTTCTGCTGCCTTTCTCTGTCTACTTTCATCTAAGCCCAACCTAACGCGCTCGGGACTCGAACTTGCACCTGCAGACCTCACAGACTTCAATATCCTATCAACTGCTTTGCCTCAGTTGGCGGAAGCGGCCAAATTGTTCCGCAAGAGGACTTCGGGGAACGGGGCCACACAGAGGGATGAAGAAGGCGATTTTTGATTGTTTTTTGCTTCTCGTGGCTATTCTAAACACACCTAGCTACTTAGAATAAGAAAAAACGCATTTTTTGAGATTTTTGGTAACCTGGGTCAGAGTCCGGACAAAATTCAGCCCTCAGGTGAACCCAGGACGGCATCCGGACAAAAATCCCCAAAACGTGTCCGGACAAGTTTGGGCCTCAGCCGACCTGGGTTCTAAAGGGGTTCTCATGGGTCCTAGTCACGACCAATCGGACAAGAACAGGAAAAAAAAGAGCCGGCGGAGTCGGGAATTGGCGCGTGAGCGGCGCTACGATTTGGTACGCATGTAGCGGAGCGGAGCTTGAATTCAACTAGGCAAGGGCTGAACATCCGAGTCGCGCAGGAATCTTTCAACCGTTTCAGTGTTTCACAGCCCAATTTGATCTGCGTAATCATCGGGGTAACTACCAGGAACTAATAGGCGTTCCTACATAGGTATCCATACGATTGGGAAGCTGACCCTCGACTCTCGAGCATGGCCCGGGAGTGTAGATTGATATGCATTGAAAGGATGTACGTATTCTTTACTGAATTTCCATTCATACCTATGGACTGTGTATTGACCCGCGCTTCATCTGCTCCGGTGCATAATTGGCCTCTGCAGCCTTGATGTATATCCGTGCAAAACGTGTCATATACAGCGGCCGGTGATCGTGAGTTTGCGACACATTTGAACTTGATCGCGGTTTGACATACAGCGGCTCTAGTACGGTGGTAAGCCAATAAATGTTATGCTATAGAGTTTGGGAGCATTCACTTAAGTATTGGTTCCATCGATACCAGCCATAGGTTTTGTACTAAGCGTGGTGATACTTGTCTTGGACCTCTTGGCACGCTCAACTCGGAAAACGATGGCGCATTTTCAAGTTGCCACATATACATGTTAGCCTGCTATAAAGTGGACGACTGTGAAGTCAAAGCCCTCCCTCATCACTACGGGCCCAACAGCTCCAGCCATGGTCAATACTACAACTACAGCGGGTCTCATTGGCGTTGTTCTTCTGGCTCGCCACGGCGACAGGACGGCATACTATCAAAGCCCAACTACATACAACTCTACCCAAGCATACATCACCCCTCTTGGAGAGGTGAGAGCTCTGTGTTACAATACTAGATCTCGCTCACGAGTGTTTAGCAACAAGAATTTGAACTCGGGAGTTTTCTTCGTAACACGTATCTCAATCCCAATTCGCCGTCTTTCATCCAGAATATCAGCACTGACGTGGTAAACATCGATCAGCTGACTGTCCGCGCAGACGCTGGTGGAGGAAATGTCATCCTTAACTCTGCGTATGCTCTGCTTCAGGGTCTCTACCCATCCACAAAAAAGTCAGAGATAACTCTGGCGAATGGTACAACGGTTTTTCCTCCTCTTGGAGGATACCAATATGTTCCAGGCAAGTCAGTTAGGGCTCTCTTTTGTTCTCTAATTAATGTGCTGCAGTGGAATCTTTGGAATTTTGGCAGAGTCCATCTCTCACGAGCTGGATGGAATGCGAGGTATGAAATCCATTGTACCTTCTGGAGGTCATTTCATAATGCCCAACAACAGTATTTCCAATATCACCTGGCTAGAATTTACGCTTCATTCGCATTCATAAACATGTCCACCACTGCCGCGCCCTTCCTGACCGCCTTAAAACCTTACTTGGGGAGCGTCAGTAACAACTTCACGAACATGGTATGTCACCTCATTGCATCTGTGAAAGCTTTTCTGACAAAATTGTTCAGTGGAATGTAAGAGTTCATTTGAATGTTTTCAGGCCAAGCCTATATTGTCTCGCAGATATACGACCATGTCAATGTCCAGTACACCTATAACAAGACCTATTACGAAACCCTGCCTCCCACCTTCCTCCAGCAAGCTCGCTATTATTCTGATTGGCTCCAGCGCAATGTCTTCACCGATTCTGTGCAAAATGGTATCGGCCAAAGTAGGTTTAGACTCAATGCTGAAAAAGTGCCCCACTAACGTTGCTGCAGTTCCTATTCGCACACTCCTACCGGAGGTCTTTTGGGCCTTGGGTAACATGACAAAGACATCTAACCAAGTCAAGATGAATATTCAGGAAATCGATTACAAGCCATTTATCAGTCTGTTTAACGTCACGAATGCCACCGTGACTGACCCCGAGATCACTGGTACCGGTCAGTATCAACAGTGTATGAACTCAACACTGCAGACTGATACTAGTTCACAGTCAACTATGCTTCTGTCGTTGCCCTTGAGTTGTCGCAGAACTCGCAGGGTCAGCATGAGGTCAGCATGAAGTTCAAGAACGGTACTCAGGACAGCCAGTTCCGTCAGCTTAAGATGTTCGGCAACACAAGCATCACGCTTGACAGTTTTATTAACCAACTCTTTGTGAGCTGCTCTTTACAGCGCATATGTTTTCTTGCTCACAGCTTCATTTAGTGGACTACAATCAACTCCACTAACAACTGGTGCTTCTCCTGCAATCAGACTGTCCTCCGCGGATGCTCTGTCTTCAATTACAGTAACGACCCCTTCTTGAACGGCTATGGTACTGGTTATACGGGCTAGAAGCCATGAGACCACGGGTGTCTTTTGATTTCTGTAATGTAAAACTGTCTAATTCTTTTAAATAATCTATCGTTCCTTGGGACTTGACTCCAATGAGCGAGGACATTTAAACTTCCAGCAAGTACGTACATCGAACAACAGCGTCTTCTAGAATGCACTCCAATTTCCCTTTCGAAGACGAATGACTCTTCCCTGAAAGGAAGGTCTGGAGTTCTCGTTGTGCCCATGTGAGACATACTTACTTGTGGTTTCCAGTACAGGGAAGTTTTTCCGGGTTTTTCTGGACCAGTGATTCCCGAAGTGCTTGCTGCAACGTGAGTTTGAACAACAAATCTAGGCTTGACTGCGTGACAATTTGAACCACAAACTTATATTTACAACCTTTACAATAGATCTTATTTTCAAATTACAAACTAGCCCTTCCACCAGTCAACAAATTAATTGACACCAGAACTCAGTTGGACCTTGCACGGCTGAAAATTATTGTGTGTAGATATTCTCAGCGTCCTTCTAACTGGAATGGAAAATCGTGGACGGAAAACAGGAGTCCTACATGAGCCAGGCACTACCTGAGCACCAAACAAGCTGTCGAGTAGTATCGCATCCAGATTCAAGTGTGTTCTACTTGTATTTATGGCGATGGCAACCCATAGCTGAGGTATTTGGTTGATATCGTTTGACTTTATATCCGCGGTGATTCTACGTTAGTTTGCCTCGGGGATCCTAACTTGTTCTTGTTCGATATTTGAAATGTGGTCGCATGATGGTGTCACATGCAAAGTGATTTCGAGCGCAGTGAGTCAAGTTTTATAGACTTGAATGCAGGTCCTGAAAACTCAAATGTCGACAAGAAATGTCCCTTAGTTGAGCGAGACATCAGACTGGCCCTTCAGTAATACGTGAGGGGCGCCGCAAGCAATAAGAATGGAAACTCCAGTTAGTGTTGGCGGAGTTATATATCTGCGGTTAATACGTCATGGTTGGTCTACCTCGGGGACACTACCCTTGCCCCCGCCTGCCATACGAACCGTGATTGCATGATGTTGCCACTGATAGCGCGCGGTCACTGGCCTTCGACAGACTTGATTGAATGAGACGACATAGAAGTATCCTTCAAATGAGACATCCCGTTTGCCTGCATGCTGCACTGACCTCCACGTGGGAATTCGGTTTCTGCAATACTTAGAAGTGACTGTCCAGCGCAGCACTCGATGTTACTGGCAGCTAGACCAAAAGGTCAAATGTAATCTTTCATTGCGGGCAAGAGACGTCTGGGCTTCAGCTTGCGGGCAATCAGGCTTGCTCCGCCAACTCAGATGGAAACATAAGATTTAATTCAGGCGCTACATACCGCTGACTGGCAATAACAAGAATTTCCCTATTGGCGAGTCCCTGTCATCGGTTACGACCTTGGGAGATCCATTCGTCTCATTGACTCCTCATGCGCGTGACAGGATAGTGAGACTGGAGCACAATGGCTTGGCGGCAGAAGTCAGATCTAGGCAATAATAGTCAGAGGCAATCAGAAAGCACATGATTAGGCTGAATAATCAAGATTCTCGATGAAATAACAGTCAAACGAGTGACTTCCAACGCTACACCAGTCCCCCTTCTAGACTGACATTCATGGGCGGGCAGCCAACGTTGACAAGTCCATTCTGTAAAACAGGATTTAGTTGCATGCAACGAAGGAAGTGAGACCAACGTCGCCAACCGCATTGGCAACAAGACGAAATATTTTGCGAACCACGTTGTAGCTGCCGACTGACGGGACCTCGTCGTGCACGATTAGGGCACGAAAAAAACTCTCACACGGAAGGAGAGTACCCGTAGCACTAGATCCTACCAGTCTGGCATTAGCCACCGGAAGCGACAGCGAAGGCCACAGAGAACGGGACAGCAAGGGGACGGGCAAACATTTTCAAAGAAGAGAGGATTTGGAGAGCTGAAAAATTAGGGAATTCGAGGGCTAGTCAAATACTGAGCAGTGAAGAGATGGAACTCGGTGAGCCTGTCTTTTATACGCTAGCAGAGTCTAGCTCAGACCAAAAATTCTTTTGCCTGGGCCCGCAATTTTTGACATGCTAAGCGGATGACACAAATCATACAATTGAAGGACGTAAGATCGTAAGATATCGCGACGCGTGAGGGCACCTGCCTTTATTTTTACTTTGATGTTCACAGAATGATTGACCAGCAAATATTACATAATGGCGAACTGGAAAATCGAAAACGCGGTTGTCACTGATCACGTGACTCTGTAACTCTCATCCAACTTTGGTCCTCAGTTTAAGCTTCGCAGGTATCAAGCTGTCTTCCTCACGCTATGTCAAAGTCGCCCAAGAAAAAACGTGATACCTGCGCTGCCTTATATTCTACTGGTATACAGTGTGGTGTACCGACTGTTGACGGTCCACTTTGGTGCCCACGGCACAATGAGGTAAGTTCCTCGAAGTTCAAACACACCCCGGG